TAACCCCTCTTTCCTCCTATCCCTCTTGCCCCCACATCCCAGACTGATGCAAGAGCAACAGCACAACCAGCCACCTCTGACCTCCTCTCCTCCACCCCCTGTGCAGCCCCCTGAGAGCAATGCAGACCTGTCCTGACACATTTTGCAGCAAGCAGAAGATTTCTGGCCCCAGCCCTCTGGCTTTACTCAAGATTCATCAATTAAGTTTTCATTTGGAAGTTTCCAACACTTGGAAAACAAATCCCCTCTCCTGTCATAACTAAGAGCTTAATCTTTCAGACTAGGTAATCTGTGTGTGGGTGTCAAATGTTTTAACACTGATTTCAGAGCTAATAATCCTGGGTAGGAGAGTCATCTAATGAAGGCCTGATGGATGCAAACAACAGCGAGCTAAAAAAAGTCCCTCCTTTTATAAGTCAAACCGACTAATCACACAATGTTCTTTCGAGGACAATTTCAAAAAGTTACAGCTTGCTGCAGACAGTTTGCCTCTCAGTTACGCCAGTACATAGATTTGGCACATGACAAATAAACCCCATCTGTGCTCAAGTTTGCTACAGCAGTAACAAGGCTAACAAGATAGAGGAGTGCTTTCATGTCTAATATTGCTCTGTCTACATCAATCAGCAGAATGACCTACTTGAAGCGATAGGGCTGAGGGCAAACAGTGCTAAGATAAAAGCCTGGTTTAAAATACCTAGAGGGGAAAAAAATAGCCTGGCATTACAAGGAAAGACTTGGTTATGAGCAGTTACTGAGAAAAGAAATCCTGCTCCTGCTGCGCTCCCAATGCATCCCTTGCTCAGACAAAGCAGAGGCAATACTTAGGACACGTGGCAGAGGAAGGTCAAAGAGTTTCTTGTTGTTTGAGAGTGAAATCCAGCCCCCTTGGCAGAAGGCAGGGCTGGCAGCCGCCACACCAGATGCTTGTGCTCTCCGAAGTGCCCTGCCAAGTTGTGTGCCTGGGCAGTAAACACATGCAGGGCAAAAGGCAAAAGGCTGCTGTTTCACAGAGCAGCAGCATGCAGCCTGGACAGGCGTGTGCTGTACAGGCCCCCCTCGCTGGCTGAACCCCTGTGCCCTCCTGAAGGGCTCACTACGTCCCCTCTGCCCAGTGAGGGTAGTTTTCAGCTCACACCACCTCCGTTTGCATTGCTCCCCACAAGCACAGAGAGCTGCTGAGGGAATGGGGAGAACCTTTCCCAACTACAAGGTTACTGAAAGGATCCACCTGGCTAAATTCTGCTCTAAAACTGAAGCAGCAGGTACCTGCAGTATATAATGCTGCAGGACATGCAGGCAAGTGGGTGTGAATTAAAAACCAGGTTTCTGGGGAACAGACGAAACCTGCAAATTTACAGCTCTATTAGGATCCCGAGTTTGCACCTCCACTGTTTACCTTAAACTCGGCACCAGCCTTCCTTTAGCTTCCCTCTTTCTAGCAAGCAGACAATAAACCTTGACCATCTCTATTTGTTCTCTGAAGCCTACCTGACACAGCACCTTAGAGGTATTCCTAAATTTAAGTTTTTTAAGATGCATGCAGCCAAAAAGCCGAGTTCACTCATCTCCTCTGACAACGTGGAGCAAGGACAGGCAGTTGTCTGGAAAGAGTCCTGGTCACCAGCAGGTATTGACTACATAGCTGTATTTAAAATGGCATGAACTGGAACAAGGGTAAACCCTCTTCACTTCTGTTTGAATCCGAATATCTGCATATCTTGGTAATTCTGTATTCAATCCATACTGAACAATGACACTCAATAAGACTATTGTCTTACTGCTCATAGAAGTACAGCAATCAGCTAACTGCTGTCACACGTGTGCTGCTGGGGCCACAGGACATTACTCCTTGTGCCTGTGCAAGGATTCAGCTGCGATTTTGCAGGGAATAGAGGGTCACAGCTCGAGCTGGGAGCTCAGCTGCTGCACATGACTATGAAATTAAACCCAGAAAGCTGCAGAGATACACAACACAGATACAAAGGAACTAGAGGGGAGACAGATGTCTTGTGCTGAAAGCCACTAGCAGGTGCTCCTAAACATCCTGGTGTTTAGTTCTGGCAGCTCCTAATGACATGTAACATGCTGCCAGTCTCCCTGCCAGAAGCATCTCACTAGAAAGTAAGCCTGTAGCTATGCATACAATTGCTAAGGTCTCCGCACTAAAACTGCAACTTGCAGTTAGCTGCCAGTTACCTAATTACTGAATTGCTACAAGAGAAACCCCAGAACCTGCAATACTGAGGAGCTTTTAGGAAACACTCACAGGCAGAGATGTTTCCTGTGGGAAGGCTGACAGCTGCCTAGTAGAAAACTTCTCCCATTCAGAAATACATCAAGGAGTGTCATGTCCCTGTCTGCTGCTGGGAGTTGCTCCAGTTTCTCATTGTATTGCTTTTCAGGCTTCCTACAACAAACTGCAGGAGCAAACAATGACTTTCACAGACCTGTGACACTTTGCTCCTACTTCCTCTTCTACTCTTACCCACCTCCTTTTTCTCTCCCAACTTGGTTTCCTTCCCTGCTTGGCATCTTTCCCAAATAGGCTGCTCTTCTTCAACCTCTCACCTTATCACGCTCCAGTGAGAGCTGTATGGAACGCTACTTTTCCCCTCAATCTACCATTTGATTAGATAGCTACAGTAACTCTTGTTAGTGTAAGTACAAAGAAATCAGCTACCTCAGCTCTCTTTCATATAATTCCTGATTCTGTTTCTCCAATTCTCTGTGTTCCACAGCTCAACTATGAATTTAAGAAATGCTTTAACCATTATAAGCTGTGAAGGAACAAGGGTTATTTCCCTTAAACTTAAGGGAGTGTACAGATAATTTAAAAAACAACTTTCATGAGCTGTCACCATTTCTTTCCTCTCCTATTACCATGAACATGAAGGTTTCCCAAATGAAACTTTCTCTTCAGTGGTGTGTTTCCACCACAAATGCATCTGAATCCTGTCCTTTCATTTGCTAATAACTGAGGCAAAAAATATGATCTCACTCAAAAAATCCTAGTGGGATTCTCTGTTCTTTTCCTTGAAGGTAACTAAGAAGGTCAACCATATATCCCTCCTTGAGAGCTGATTTCACCACTGGCAATTGCAGTAATTACCAATGCAAACATCTCAGTCATACTTGTTGAGCTGTTCAGAGTCTTTTACAGCAATACATATCTGCTATCTGGGGTAAAAGCTATACATTTTAGACTGATGATGAACTTCCACTGTGTGGAAGTGTTTTTATTAAGTGGTTTTACAGGTTAGGAAAAAACAGAGGCAAGCAGAACAGATTTCCTTCCAGTTCCATGCCCATTAATTGACTACAAAATATTCTTTGAGTGCTGCTGTGTCCTCCTTGGGTGCAAATTTTAGAAAGAAAAACGAGCAATACAACTTACATCCTGCCTCTCAATGCTTTGGCTTTTTGTTCCTCTTCAAGGTTTCGTGGGGGAGTTGAAGGCGTCATTCCTTCATTTAAGCAGCCAGTGGCATCTTTTAAGCTTCCTCGGTAAGATCCTCCTTCAAGGGTCTAAAAAAACCCCAAAGAACAATAGAATAAACATTGTCCTTGACTTCCAGCAACAGTGTTATCTTCTGTTTCAAGTCAGTTCTGCAATAAACACTGCAGTCTAAAACCAAGCAGAGTATTCAGCAATACTTTCACACAGGACTTAGAGAAACACAACCAAACTAGCTTTGGGTTGATGTAGGACCCCACAAAAAAGCATTAAAACAGAGAAGATGCTTGTTTGTCAGAAGGTGGAAAAAACGATGTTCCAGTAGCCCCATGAAAACTCTTCCAAATTATTTCAAAACAACCTGGAAATACCCTGATGTCTCAATCAGGACCATTGCTAAGCTCCAAAAGCCAGAATTCTTGTAGTAAAGTAAAACACAAAAAGAAACAGAAATAGAAGGCTACATAGTAACATTCCACAATAATTACAGTTTCCCCCAAATCCCTGGAAAGTAATTGTAATGGCCCAACAGACTGTATGCGGGGGAGAGAAAATAAAATATCCTCCAAAAATATGTCTAACTGGATTAATGGAATACTTTTCAATTTGTTAGTCCCTCGATGGAATAAAATGACTTTTGAGTAAATTTTCTGGGAATATCCTTCTTGGTTTCCCACGTCACAAAGAGCTCCTTCACCACTCACTCCTTATCAAGAACCCTATGAACGCTGATTCCCTTCATGTACCAGTATCTCACACCAAGAAAACACCAAAATCCTCTCGAATGATTCACTAGATAAAGCTGCTTGCACAGAGTTCCAGTAGTTTAATGATCACTGCAGGTAATTTTTGCTTTTACTCTCTTCATCTTTCCAGTATATGTAAGGAAATGAACCTTTTCTTGGCTCATCATAACTCTCTCTTAATCCTTACTTGCTGATTGTGTTAAACTTGTTCAAAGCAAGCATTTAGCTAATTTTAGAGGTCCTGGGACATGTAGAAAAAGATTTAACTTTGATATTAACATTTTGAACTGCTTGGGGAAAATTTAAGAGAGGCCAAGATATGAAACAGGATTTACTCCTTGTCCAAGAGACATGGGACCAGACAGGGAGAGTGCATGATACTGAAAATTTTGAACAAATTAATCCCAGAGCATTTTTATTGCTTATCCCACTCCCTGCCAGAAAGAGTTGACAATGCAGATTAAAAGCGACACATGAATCTTTGTAAAATTGAAGCACAGCTGTGGTACTTCAAGGAGTTCTGTGCTTCAGAGGGTCTTTTCAGGGAACCCTGAATGCCAAACAAATTCACATTGGGTAGTAAAACTTCTGTGCTTCAGAACAAGCTTTAAAACAAAACAAACAAAACATCCCAATGTGTAAAATATTTAAATACCAACAAGACCCCAGAAGGAGTACAGTACTGTAGCTCATGCTCTGCAAAGCCCACTCCAGAAGCCACTTTTGACTATGCAGCGAGAGCCTACATGAGATGTAGGCTTCATCTCACCTGGGGAGCAAAAATATTAGACACTACTGAGAAGCAGAGTACATAGCGTTAATAAAAGCATAGCAGATGAAGGTAGAAAGCAAGGAAACCAGAAACAAGAGGTAGCCTTTAAAGCCCTTCCTTAGAGTCATATCAGGCCTGTGGTATACACAGTTTTCACAACACTAAACTTACCAGCTTAGTTTTGACCAACTTTTCTATTGCACTGACAAGATCCGCAGCAGTTGGGACATCGGAGGAGCTCTGTCGAGCAGCTAGCAAAGAAGAGGACTGCAAGACACCAGGTTGCAAAGGAAAAGCAAGTTAGCAGGATGAGAAGGGAGTAGGAAACCAAGCGGTCAGTGAAGAAGCTTCTGAGACAGGAGAATGAACATGTAAGGGGAGCTGAAGGGTTAGAGGACCACATGCATGGGCAGGTGAGCGACTGTCAGACAAGCATGGAATTGCCATCCATTTCTGGCTGCACATCTACCTGCAGCAGTTCCAAGACTTGGAACCAAGGAACAGTGTCAAAGAACTGAAGTTCATTTATAAACAGGCTACAATACTCTTAAAGTCTCTTGGTTCCGCCTTCAGAGGACATCTACGATCTTATAGGCTCCAGAAAATTGATCTTCTTACTGCAGATGTAAGAAATTACCCCCTCCCCCACACATACATATTTAATTAATGCAGTTAAGCACAAGGTACACATGGAATTACAGACATTAAGGGAGGGAGACAGGGGGGAACAAATCATTCCCCCTCCCTTCCCCACAGATCAATTGTAACTCCAAATGAACTTGGATTACACCTCCTACACATGCAACTTCAGCCACCTAAAATGTGTAACTCTTCTCTCCCCTCTCTGCAACCAGTGGAGAGAAAATGCCCCTACGTGTTTCATTTATCCTAGGTACCTGGCACAGAAGGGCAGAAACACTTCTTGCAGATGCCCACTTTTCCCTATTGGCCTTAGTCAAGATACTTTCAGTCTCGCCTCTCTGCTTGTCTCTTGGTTGCAGGTATTTGATTTTAGGTGCCTGACATCGTCTCATGCCTTTCTCTGCATTCAGGTAGCCACAGCTAACAGCTCCTGATTGGTACTGGTATCCAGAAATGCAGAAACCTCTTCAGTGTGCTCCCAAGCACCCCATGGCACTGCAGAGACCAGACTGTGTGAAATACTCTTTTGGTTTAGGGTCTTTCCTCTATATGGGCATATACCACTTGGTCTTTGTCCTAAGAAACCTCACTTTGAACACTCAAACCCACTTGACAGCTATGGGAATTGGGATTTCTTAGCTCACCTGTATGTACATTTCTTCTGAAGGCAATACAAGCACTGATTAAAACTATAAGCCCTTTGATAACCTGCTTTAAACAGGCTGCCACTGACTACAGCATGGCTAAAGTTTTATAAATTTTGCATTAAACTTATTTAAAAGCTTGTTCATCTCTCAGCTGCTTAATAAAAGTCTTCTGGAGAGCAGCTATTGCAGCTAAGTCACTGTGCAGGTGCTAACAAACATGTATCTGAGATTAAATAGTGCTGGGGAGCGAGAGGTGGAGATGTGATGGCAGGAATTAGGCAGCTGGCCACCTCTTTCAGCAGCCCTTTGGGGAGGCTGCTCCTGTTGAGTGACACAGCCCCAGGAGGAGGAAAAAAATAAAGCAGAGGAGGTTAATCCTAACCAGAAGCCTTGTGACAGAACAGAAACGTGAACAGCCTACCACTCATCGTCTTGTCTTTCACAAATTATACATCTAATCAACAGGTCCAATTACAAGAACAAAAACTACAGATAATCAGGCTAGTAATTGAGGAATTAGGCTAGTAATGCAGGAATCTCATACAAATGTAAAACCTTAGACAGCCTGTTTCACTTGCAATGCAGACATGTCTAGTGAAAATAGGACTGAAAATAAGAATTTTGAAGAGATATTGGACAAATACATTGACGACAACTGCCAAACACAACCATTCTAGCAGAAGGAGTCCAATTTTTGAAGGCACTAAACAGCTGTTGCTCTTGCTTATTTTAACTGAAATTGCTCAATATCTCTGAAAAGTAAATAACTGCAGGATTCTGAAGGGAACATGGAAACATTTGCTGCCTACAAGACTTTCAGGGTTAAATAAAACTTCAGTGATTTACAAGAGTCTGGTTTGCATATGGCAAATCAAAATATGGTAGTTCTATTTCCCAGGAAGCAAATGATGAATGTCTAACATGAAGAGATCTTGCAATTCGTCTTTAAAAGAGCCTCTAGGAGCAGTGAGGCACAATTAGTGCTACCTTGCAGATGGGATTGGGGAAAGTGTCACCACCTGCTCCATGCAGACATCTCCCACCTACCACAGCTGCTGCTGGTCCAACCTAGGCCTGTGCCTGTAAGCACAGAGGTAGGACATGAGCAGGGAGCTGTGCACAAATTGACACTGTTACAGAGCTTTTGGTTCCAGCACAGCTCAAACATGGCTAACACAGTGCTCCTGTGCCTGGGATTTCAGGACACATGTTTGTGTGCTTTAGTTTTTTTCCCCCATGACAAAAAGTTGAGTAGGGGAAGAAAAATGGAGAGGAAAAGGGTTTCAGATGCATCTTGCTCTATTTAACCTTTGCTTTTAGGAGTGGGTGAAGAAACAAGATGCCAAAACACTCTATAAAGCTCAGACATCTGAAGCAGAAAACAGTTTAGTTCTACAACATTTACTCTGTCAGAAATGTATTTAACAAATACTGAAATCACATGGCATGTTAGACACCAAAAATAGCGACCTGAGTTAAAGCAGTTTTGTTTTTCTTTCAAAAAACCCAACAAAATAAAACACCCCCCCAAAACATAAAGCAAACTAACCCCCAAACATTTAGCTAAATGCCATGGGGAGCTAGCCAGGAACAACTGCTATTGTGCTGGGCATGGATCCACCATGACTCTGCTTCGCTGACCTTTCGCCTCTGCCCCTTGCCAGACAGCCAGCAGCACATGCAGCGCTCAAAGGGCAAGAATCCACGACTCCAGCTGCTTCCTTCTGGTCTTGCTACCACCACAATGTCATAACATTTCCTGACAGATTAGCAGCAAGCCCCCAAATCCTTTATTCCATCACTCTGCTCCTTAAGTCCTAGAAATATTTACATCCTTCTCTCTCTGTATTTCCAAACTCCTGCCTGAACCTTCCCCAAGAACATTCTGGATTGTTTTTAGTTTTTTTTCTGACAATTTACTAATCTCCCTTATCCTTGTTCTTTGCCTACAGCAATTACAATCAGAGGATAGCGATACAGAAGTGGCAGTGCTAAAAACAGATGCCAGCAGGAAAGCAGGAAACTGCTAAACAGGAGGATGGTTTTCTACAAGAGACACGACAGCACCATGAAAGGGTGGGGGAGGACACGTGCAGACGGGACCTGCACTGACTGTGAATGCAAACCACTGTCACAGCCATATCCACAGATTCTCACCCCAAGTCCAAGACAGCAACTGAAGGACTCTGCAAGCCAGTGTGCCATCTACCATGGCAAATTCTGACTTAATGTGTAAGAGACCCTAGCTGAAAGCAGAGAACTACCAGCACCAACACGGTGCCACCAAATGCCATTTCTTCTGCTACAGCACTTTTAAAACAGATGTAGAAAACACACATTATCAGCCTGAATGGAGTTTCTGACTGCACACAACACAGGCACACAAATGACCTGTCATGAAATGGGATGCCAGAGCTAAATTGCTTATCCAGTGCTGTTTGTAAATCCAGTTGGAGAAAGGTATTAGATTATGATTTTCATATAGAACTCTCTTATAACCACAAATCTAGGCCCTGGATACTAGAAGACCACTGCAAAACCACTGTCATATAGCTATGTGAGAAATGCACTTAAACAGAAAAATTATACAGTAGAGGAGGCCTTACCATGTCATCTTGGGTTGGATCATTGTCAAAAATCTTCATAGGAGGAGGAAGAGGTGTGTGAGACTCTTCATCTGGCTCATCTTCTCCCCAACCCTTCTTGCTCTTCTGAAGAAAAGTTAAATATAATTAGAAGCAGGGACGGGTTTATCTTTTTACATGTCTGAGCCCTACCACCAGGCTCAGTATTGTGTTGTGTGGAGAGAATTGCAGCTAATGCAAGAGAAGCAATAAAGACATAAGGTTTTGCCAGTTAATCCTGGTTACAGAAATACAGTTTATAGGTCATCCGAGCAGCTAAGGCAGTTACAGCTCTCTGTGTGCTGATAGAAAAGCATTTTTTTCATTTAAATGCAAACAGTACAATGTACTGTTTTTAAAATGTGTTCCTCTATTTGTGTTCAGTTAATATCTTCTGCATTTTTTGCTTTTAATTACTCATTCACTTACTCAGGAAAGCACCATTCTGGTAAGGAACATGCCAGCAGGAAAATTACAGGTACAACTACATAGCAGATAGAAACATGGCTATTTCTCTGGGTATTTTCTTTCAATGAGAAATTACATTGCCATGGTAGGATAAAGGCAATATGAACCTCAGCAAGAAGTGATAACAGCTGCTCGAGAAAAACTTAATTTCTGTCCTTGGCAGCTTTCTAATAGACTACTAAAAAAATTTAGTCAAAGGACAGTAATCTATGCAAACTCTGAAATGCTGTTCCCTATATATATATATTCTATTGCCCTTTGGATGACAAAGCTGTTTGCAACACAGCTTTAAACAATGAAATTTTACGTAGGATTCGCTGTTCCCTCTAGATCCTAAGGGAACTGCATTTACTCAGGCATGACTCACACACCACAGAGGAGACTATCGGACATATGGTCTTTCCCGCAACAAACACCAACACACACCTCATCTGCACTGTCTCCTTGAGGAGTGGTTTCATCTCCAGTCTTTGGTGAGCCGAGGTCAAAGCTCTTCCTGCCATCTCGCACCTTCTTTTGTTTCTTGATGTTGCTCTCGGTTTTCCCACTGTTCAGCCGGCGCACAGGACTAGTCAACCATTTCTTCAGGGTGTTGGTCGAGCGCTTGGGGCCAGGAGAGCTCTGGATGGAGTTGAGGGATGGCTGAGGTTGTAAGTTGGCCACTGAATCAGACTTGCCCCCGTTGTCATTAGAAGAGACTGAATATGCATCTGGAAGAAAACGATGCAGATGAGAGCTCATACCGGCACCTCCTCTACTCCCTAGTGCACATCAAGCGCTTGGCAGTACTAAGCATAAAAATACAACCTGCATTGACGAAAGGTTTTGTGACCTATGGACATTGTGTAAACTTTATTGCACACCAGAGAGAGGAATATGCCCTCCAAAGGCCATTTCCCACAATCTTACACGCTTCTCTCATTTAATACCACACTGTCTGTCCTTATGAAAGATAATAGACAGCAAAGTTGTCCATTTTTTTATGAAGTCTGATTTGTATGCTAAGGGTTGAATTTCTCAGCTTCTTCCCACAATTTCATTGTGAATTGTCAGGAAGGAAATAAGCACACAAAGCAGATTACTATAGGAGACCTGACAGCCACCAACATGTTGTCAGGTTCTGATTCTGTAATTGCTGTTACCAGACCCCAATGACATGACTGCTAGTTAGACTATTTATTAACTTTTGAAGTACCTTAAAATTATCTCCCTAGACCCTGAAAACAATCTGTCAAAGAGTTCACACCTTCTCTAGAACTAAGAAACTGGAATGAACAATTACAAAAGATGACAAACTGTTCAAACCAAAGGAAACTCTTAATAAGGAGATACAAAACAGGCTTAAAATTACAAAATAGTTCCATTATATCGAAGTAGGAGATCTGCTGAACTGCATCCAACTGCAGTTATCAATACACATGTTCAGACTAGCACCTTAGAAATGGGTGCAACCTCTCTTACTCCCCCCAAATGCAACAAACCAAAGATGTGCCAATGTCAGTAAGGCTTTAAAACCAAAACAAACAAGTTGCTCAAAGATTTCCCAATTGCCCTTTAGGAACAAGTGCCCTGCTTTCAACTTTCTGAAACCATGGCAAGGTAACTCCCTCCCCAAGAGCAATCAGGGACCAAGATGTTTAATCCCACACAGTTTAAGATTAATATTTTTTGTTTACAGAATTCAAACATTGTTACACTCCTGTAAGATACATCTCAGGCTGTACATCAGAAAGCAGTCAGCTGATGTTATTAAACATTTTTAGACTGATATCTCTGAATCTTTTATCTGCCCCAGCAGTAACAAAAACCGATAAGTAACAGCACATGAAAATAGCCTGGTGCATCCAGATATTCTCAGATCAGGAATAAATATGATTATAGATGCTGTGCCATACACATGCTGAGAGGGAGCTATTCTCCCAGAGAATCATTACCTGTACTGTTTTAGAAGCCACTTTCTGCTACCTGCATGTAGAGCTCATACCCCGCTGGGCAGAGCTGCTGCTTGCAGCTGGCTGTGCAGGGAGCAGAGACTGCAGCCTGCCCTGTCTGCCAGCTTGTACAACCATGAGAGGCAGAAATTTTATAACCATAGAGAGCCTCAGTCAGAAGTTGAACCAATAATTTATTACATACCTGAGGTCAAAAGTTAAGACTTTGAGAACATACAGAAATAATTTTAACAAGCTAGAGAAAGTCAAAGTTCATTTCCCAGACAGGAAGAAAATTCAAATCATCTGTCTTATGACAACAGGAGGAGTGAGTGTGAGAGGGGCTGGGAGAAGGATGGATCCCAGGTGGAGCTGCTGGGGACTTTGTGACATTCCTCTGTAAGGGCAAAGTAGCAGTCTTATCTCAAAAAGGCCTGGGTTTAGCTAGGTCCTGTTGATGTTATTTCATGTACACGAAGTGGCATTAAATCAACTAGTGCAAGATAATGTTTGTCAGTGGCCAGCTTATCTTCCACTCAATAGGCTTTGGATAGTTCTCCCTCACAGGCTCCACGTGATGCTCTGTGAGTTTATCAGTGCACTTTGCGTCAGCAAAACTCAGGGTTTCATGATGGTGACTTTGATTTTCCACGTGCCCTCGCCCCCACCCCGGTAGCACTGAAAGCTCTGCAGGCAGTGGAAAAAGCTTGAGGGCTCTCTTGCCAAGGGGCTTCGCAGAGAGGAACACCCTCAGGAGCTCATGCTCCCACTGCTGCTGCAGGAGGATTAAGTTTGGGAATTACTGGTGCAAAGGGAGCTGGGCTGTAGTCACAGAAAGAGAAATGCTGGAAGAGATCATTCTGTGGGGCTGCCATTCCCAGCCATTCCCATTCCCCGTGTCCCCGACTGGGGACATGCTGCCTTTCCTGGGGACTGGGCTTGGTGGGAGGTTGAAGAGAACCGAGGACAAGCTCATCTCCCCACATGTCAGTTAATTAATGTACAGAGAGGTTCTTTAACAGCCTGTAAGTAATGTGGCCCAAAGCCCTACCTCCAGTTGACAGCATTTTGCCAATTTAGTAAGGATGCTGATAGGAGGCTAAAGGAGCCTGGGACAACCCCATCCACCCCAAGGGTTTGTTACTGAGACATGTGATCCCACCTCAGCTAAAGGCAAGGCCAAATCCAGGAACCCCAAGGTCCATGATGGAAGAGGCATGGACCTCTCTTTCCATCAGGAAACACACCTGGTTTTACGAGCATGGCCAGGCCCTGGCCTTGCTGCCTCCCTCTCCTTTTCCCAGGCAGCACAGCCACAGCTGGAGCATGGACAGACACACAGCACCTCTCCTGCCATGGCACTCATGCACCTCTGCAGACCTCCACAGCCACTAGCCATGATAAAAGCCAGCCCACAGGTTTCCAGAGGGAGGCATGTTACACCGTGCAATGGTCTCGTTTGAACAAGGCTCTGGATTTTCTGGCTCAAGGTCATGCCTTGGTGATGAAAAAGGCTGTTTACCAAGGGGTTACTAAATATCAGTCATGCCATGCTGTATGCAGCCCTGGCGGGTATGAAGTCCCCTTCTTTTTCCTTGCATGCTGACCTGCCCTGGCTGAGCACTGTAAGGCTGAGCCAGAGCCCAGGCTTTGCTTGGCCCATGCAGCCCAAGACTGGAAACATGGCCTTATCTTGCCTTTACATGGCAACATAGTCTTTTTTTTTGGGAGAGAAAGGCTGGTATGAATTTCCCTGTTCTCCAGCCACTATGAGAGCCCCTCAAGTTTGGGTGACTTTTCTCTACCCAGCACCCTACATATGTTCAAATCACTCCCATCCAAACATCCCAATTCCTGCTACTGCCAAACGTGTGCTAATCAAAAGCCACACAGAGAGTCCACACGCCATATTCATAACCTTTTTTCTTTCTGGTTTTTAAAGGAGCTGCAAATTTGAACACACTTATGAGCAAGTCACACTTGCCACTTGCCAGCCGTGCTGAGAACGGTTTCCTCTGCATGTAAAGCAGGTCACCTCGACACGGCTGAGAGGCAGGACTGGAGCTCAAGGAAGAGTAGTGCTCACAGAATGAGACAGAAACATGAAACACAAAAAATCTGCCAGGAGAGACTTTGAAGACAGCCTCCTAAGCTGCGCTTGTGTGAGCTCCACTGCTTCTATGGCACATAGGGCTACAAACACATTAATCATGACACTTGATCCTGGCCTGAGCTCCAGACACCAGGTGGATGGAGCGGAAGAAGAGGACACGTTACCGTGCTCTTCTTGCAAAGCACTAGCACATAAGTGCTTTGCAAACTGCATTAGTAGAGCTGTTTGGAAACACAGTTTGCTTAAGTAAAAACAGAGTGCTTTTGGAAAAGATGCAGCAGCTCATTGCATGATAATTCAGCAGCTGCTGCTGCCTGCAAGGACCAGCTAGCCAGCGGCTGTCCTCACACTGCAGTGGGTCCACAGTGAGCTGTCCTCCCACCAATGTCCCAGGACACACGTCTAAAAAAAGGTATTTGGTGAAGCGAAGTGGGTGTAGGGAGGTCAGCAGACTCATGTGGCTACATTGATTTCCTGGCCAAACCATTCATTCAGACAGAAGAATGATGGTTTCCAAAAGACTCCTAAGCAAATCTCCAAGAAACTTCTGGCAAGAGGACTGTGACAGATACTTAGCCAGACCAAAGAGCTTTAACATTCAGAGCTTTTGCACTGCTGGAGCCATGAAATGTTTGTTGTTGTTGTTGCTCAAATGAACAGACATTTATAAAAGAACAGCTCTTGTACATGAAAAATGGAAGGTTCCTGTTCTGTGCAACCTTGGGTGAAAGGAAAATGAAAATCTCATAGACCTGGTTTTACAGGCACA